ATAATCATTTTTAAGGAGGAAACAGAAACAGTAAAAAGTTTTGCGTAGAGGCTTTCTTTGATTCCTCGTCAGCACCTAAGTTCTCGATCTAAGCCACAGGGCATTACTACCAAAGCTGTTATGATAAGATACAGGAAAGTTGAAAGGAAATAATGACTACTGACTAGAGATGTCTATAATCTTAGGATGGGAAATATGAAAGGGAAGAATATATATGTTGCAATTAACTTATGCATAATGATGATAGCTTTTACTACAGCTTGTCATTCTTTTTCCCGGTTGTGTTTCATGGTGGTATTTCTTAATACAGATTAATAGCTTTTCTTTAAACTGGATAACTACTATATTTACATCCTGAATATGCATTTAAAACCATTTAGAAGATTAGTGGGAACTCTTATTACTAGATTTATCAGTTTGTTTGAATAAAGGATTTTTTGTTTGATTTGGTTTATTTATTTCAGCTTTTATTTAATATCTCTGCAATGGTTGAACCTGTGATACATGCCACAGAATTCTGTGTCCTGGACAACTTTAATTCTCCCATTATCTCCATGATCAATACGCTAATGCTTCTTGCTTTCTTGGTGAAATTCCACTATGCAGTCTTGATAGATCCTCTAATTGGCTTCTATTCTTTTCCTGTTTCAGTGCTACGATAAATATTCTATGCAGAATCTGCGAAAAGCTGCAACATCAAGGGGACACTCTTTCTGGGCGAAGGGACCTGATAATGCTGGTTATTACAATTCCAAGCCACATGAAACTGGATTCTTCTGCGAACGAGGTGATTATGATAGCTACTATGGGCGATTTTTCCTCCATTGGTATAGACAGGTCTTAATAAATCATGCTGATAATGTTCTCTCCCTGGCAACTCTTGCTTTTGAGGGAGTGCAGATGGTTGTGAAGGTACGTATATGGGCTAGTTCAGCTCATCATACTTTTTTGACCTCGTTCTGCTTATTTCCTATATTTGGGCTTTTGTTCTTTTTCACAAATGGCATACATACATTTCCAATAATTCAAATGGTATTTTGTTTATGCTCTTTTCATCCCAAATCAATAGTCTTTAAAAGGTTAGCGCGGTGCATTAAGCTCCCGCTATGCATGGTGTCTGGGTAAAGGTCGGAATTATTTGACCATTTTTTGGAATGCGATCTCTACTTCAGATAATTTTATGTTTTTTTAATAAAAGAAGTTAGAGATCTGAAAAATGCCCAGGAGTACTAAAAGTTGCAAAAAAGATTTGAAAGTTTTTGGTCAAATATAGCTTTGTTTTGCACTGAAGCGGAATAATAATCCCTTTTGGGTTTCTTCTGATAAGTTAGCTGGTGCACGTTGACACTTGTATCTTAGGTAAATGACACTAAGTATTAAATTTTGTCTAAAATAATTACAGTATGTTGAATGAAGAACTTGGATTCATACAAGTGTATCTTTTCCTGGTAAATGAGTGTTTCCTTTTCTGCAGATTCCAGCAATTTATTGGTGGTACAGAACGAGCAGCCATGCGGCGGAGGTCACAGCTGGATATTACAACCCCACGAACCAGGACGGCTATTCTCCAGTGTTTGAAGTTCTCAAAAGGCACTCCGTGACAGTAAAGTTTATCTGCTCAGGATTTCAGGTTCCAGAAACTGATGATGCGTTGGCAGATCCAGATGGTTTGAGTTGGCAGGTTATTGACTTCTTTACATCCAATTTGAGAACTCTCTAAAGGGAAATAAAAGAAGTCCATTAGATGATGAAACTCACCCTCCACCTCCACATGCACAGTCACATCCCTCAGCACATATCTTTCCGAGATCACGTGTTTATTTTTTCTTTTCTTACCTCTTAAACGCCTTTCCATTTCTGCAGATCCTGAATTCAGCATGGGATAAGACGCTTCCTGTTGCTGGTCAGAACGCATTTCCATGTTATGATAGGGAAGGATTGATGAGGCTGGTTGAGACTGCAAAGCCTAAAAATGATCCTGATCATCACCGTTTCTCTTTTTTTGCGTTTCAACAACCATCGCCTTTGGTTCAGAGTGCGATATGCATCTCAGAACTGGACTACTTTATCAAATCCATGCATGGTATAGTTTGCTGATTGTCAATATTACTACCTTATTTTTTTGGCCTGCCAAATATACTAACATCTAATTCAAGTAGTTCTGAAGAATATGAACTTGGTCGTTTTGATTTTCAGAAGTAACGAACACAAAGTTTTGATGTGTAAACCGGAATAATATATTCACTTACATTTCTTAACCATACTCTTTTAAGTCTCATTCAGTGACCAGAAAAGAAGTTAAAACTCTTTCTTAGATGCCTTTGTGGGGTAGCTTAAATGGTTTTATTTGGTTAGGAAAGAGTGATCAATCTCACCAAATACGTTCATCTGCATAATGTTCGAGTTTTTTGAGCTGTAGTAGATCCCTATAACTCTGACTAACTTGTATGCATTGCATTCTTGTCTCTATCTTCAGGAGAAATCATCATCACTATGGAATCTTAAGTTGGTACATATAGAATCTTTATTGAAGTGAAGAGGATCTTTTATGAACTTCAAGACTTTCTTCCTCAGACAATCCAAATTTATTGGTCTGTTCATGTAGCTGTAAATGAATTCAGCTAATTTATTTTAAAATTGCACTTTCTATGGTAAGTACAATTGTATTCGCATCACGAGTCACCATTTCTATTATGGTTAGTTGCAAGTTGAAGAGGAACAAGCAGTTCTCTTTTTTTCTTTTTTTCTTTTTCTTGTTGAAACGGTAAGAATTATGCTTGGCTTAAGTGACCATGTTACCTCAAAAGTACAATGTGTTTGTTAAAATATTTTTGGGAAAAATGCTTTTTAGAAAATAAGCCATTTTTGTGGCGTTTCGATTAAATTTATTTTGACGAGGGTCCGAATTTTCTCTATTGCGAATACCGTAGGAAAAAATCAATTTCAAGAGACAAAGCCACAAGGGATAGAACACAGCCTAGTTTTATACAATGGTGTACGAGTACTTTCTACAGGAAAAGGATAGACAAGTACTAGGAGAGTTACTCTTCCAGTTCCATTTTCTATATAAGACTCTGAAGATTAGAATACATAAAATGACACCTGAACTTGTACTCAAATCCCTGTTACACACTTGTTGACCACGAGAATATTTTTAAACACTCAACCTTTCAAAAGTGTATCTAGTACACGCATTTTTGCCTACACGGCACGCGCGTCCTTTACACACAAATAAGGCGAGTGAACTGAAAAGTTTTGTATCTGAAGCCTCATAAAAACGTCACATGTACAACTTTTTCCCTTTTTTTTTTTAATTTTTTATTCATCTCCTTCATTTTTCTTCCTCCATTAATGCTCACAGAACCTCTTTCTAGTTTTCATTTTTGATTACTTTTCAAACTTTTATTTCGTTTTTCAACTAGTAAATAAAGCATTTTTAGATTATCAAGAGATTGGTGTGAAATTGTTGTCTCAAAAAGTGCGATTTCAATTAGACCCAGAAGTTTTCGACTCAAAAAGTGCAATTATTGGCCCGAAAAATCAAGAGAACAGTACTAAAATTGTTTATGTGAAATTATTTTTTTACTAAAATTCATATTTGGATATTGAATTAGTTGTTGAATGGAAGCTCCATTTCAAGTTGGAACTCATTTGGAGATGAATTGAGAGTTAGATCGAAGCTTGTTGAAGAATGCCAAAGAATAATATGTTATTTAAGTGTTGGATCTTAAACCTTGAAGAAGTCTAAGCTTGATTTTAAAAGTTTTGGTAGCTGAGATTAAAATGAAGGTGGGCTCAGCCACGGTGGTTGGTCTTGGGAAGAAGATGAGTTTCTTTTCTTTTTCTTTTTCTTTTGCCGGGTTCCTTTTCTTTTTATTTTTTAAAACTTTGCTGGAGGCCTTTTTTTATTTTTTAACTTAATGACACATGTCACGACAATATTGGTGCGTGACATACACTTATTTAAAAGAAGTGGTCAAATATTAAAGTGGTGTGTAATAGATACACTTTTGAAAGGCTGAGTGTTTGAAAATATTCCCGTGGTCAACAGGTGTGTAACAAAGATTTGGGGTACAAGTTCAGGTGTCATTTTATGTAGGGAATCTTACAGAAATGTCCCCAAAAAATCCCAACTTATCAACCTAATCATAGACTTGACTAGCCAAACACATATAAAAATTAAAAACTCAAATGAATAAGGTTCTTTCTCTCCAAGAATCACACACAAAGATCTCCTTCCATATTTTTAACCGTGATTAGCAACATTAGATGCAAGACGGAAAGGAAATTTCGTGGATTTAGTAGCAAATAAGGTGATGAAATACAAAAAAATATATATACAAGCTTCCTAAAACCTAAGCAAAAAATGACTTTTTTTCAATGGGTGTGGTTGAGATTCATTGAAAACATATAAATGAGTCAATATACAAAATTTGAGGAAGATTGGAGGTGATTTGGACTGATTTAGTTTCAAATTCGTAGTTAAAATCGAGTTCAAAAAATTCTTCTGCGACACATGTACCAAACACGTCTCACGCATGTATCTCATACGCAACCTATACATGGATATACATGTGATACAAATATGATGTTTGATACACAGTGTGATACACATATCATTTTTTTCATGTTCATCTTCTACTTCGAATTTTCAATTCAAACCACCTCAAAACACCACCAAATCATCCCAAACTGAGATTCAAGGTCCTTAAGATGTACCTAATCTAATCTAATAACACCCACTCAAAAGAAAGCAAAAATTTGACCTTTTTTGGCTACAAATAGCAAATTGGCTAATATTGGTAATATTTTAGGAATTGGCCAATTTTTGTAATAAGTTACTTATAAATGGACATAATTGGTATTTTTCCTTTTATGTATTCTGCCTATTATTATTTAATGACAAGAATTACTTTCATTTAAATGATAAGAATTACTTTTACAATTACACTTCCAATGCGGGACTGTTGTTGATAAACTCTTTTTATTAATTTCACTTCAATATTACAAACTACTATACAACAACATAAAGCAAGACATATATTATTTACACTATAATTCTGATTCACACACTCAAAACATGTATAAGGTGAAAAGGGAAAGAAAAACCTTAAATCTTTGAGACTATTATGTTGACACCTACCACATTTTTGTAAGTCATGTTGTAGACAACCTCTTGAAATTTTTCCATGGCCAGTGGAGGCAAACTTATAGCAATGAGAATACCTTTTTCTCCCTTGTCATTTTTAACAGGCACACAAAAACTAATGAAAGATATAGCTTTTGGTACCCCTCCAAAAATAGGCTTTCCCCATCCAAAATCAACTTCATCAAATCCAGCAGATCTATTATCTGAGACAATAAAATTCCAAGATTTTGACAACTCTGGTCTCCCTTTAATTACCATAAGATCTGCCACTGATCTAATGTACTCTTCATTCATATGATCTTTAACTTTCTTAACCAATTCAACTGCATATGATAATGGACTTGAACATAGCAATCCTGCTTTTGATACTATGGCTGGAGCAACGAATGCATTCCCATAATATCCGCGTGGCAGTTCAAATTTTAGTGATTTTCCACGCACATTAACGACATATGTCAAACGAACAATCTCTTCAGGGCGCAATCCAAGAGCAATTGTACGATATTTCCATAAAAACGCCACTAATAACTCGAATTTTGTACCTTCACTATGGTTTGGAAAAACTTGTTTTCTAATGGCTTCAATCTCTTTATTTCCAAAGAAAAATGATTTTTGGACCAACTTGTCTTCTAAAAATTTCCATGCATTTTTTGATTCAATTTGCTCATCATACTCAGGGTGAGTACATGTAATGCATGGTGGTGATCTTGCATTTAGGAGTTTTCTTTCCCATACAGGTACTATTGTAGGTGTAGAAGCTCCTTGAATTAATTCACTTAATGCATTTAGAAACATTTTTAAGCCATAAGCATCCATCATAGTGTGATTTAGTCTGATTCCAACAGCAAATCCGCCACAGCTAAAACGGGTAACCTACATGTAAAAGGTAATATATGTTTAATAATTTAACTTCGGTCTATGTAAAAGAACTGTTATATTATCAGGTATGTTGGAAATTGTAAAGTTAAATATTTAAGTGTCTTGTTTCATATGCCTTTTAATTAGTTAGATAATAGATACATGATCTTTTGGATTATTCTAGTTGTCTTTTGTGTTTTCAAAGTGGCTAACTTCATATGTTTGTGAAACCATTTACTACCAAAAGAATTTCTTACCACCTATAAATACCCCATTTTGTTATCTTGTATTGCAAGAGTGGAGTTTTCCTATGATATAAGTGTGCTCTAAAGTTTATTTCCTTATTCATCCTCTTTGTGCCTTATGATATTATTAAAGATTCACGAATATAAGGTCAACCAACAGATAGCATATCTTGTCAAAACGTTTATAAACTGTAGGATCAGAAACCTAAAAATAAGAAAATTAGTTGCATGTCTTGTAAAATTCTTTATACTCTACGTTAACTGGCATAACATATAAAATACCTCTTCAACTTGTCTAGAATTTCAATTGTACACTGCTTTTAACCCCCCCCCCCCCCCGACCCTCCTCTTACCTTATGCTTGTTCAAAGTGGAATAAGATTTTATATACGTACACGTCTTGCATTTATTTATTTAGTGTAAACATCACGTGCAAATAAATTTTTTCGTCGTATTGGTGGGAGTCTCCTACACAGTAAGTATAGGTTCACCTCATCCCAATATCCCTTTTTCCCAATCCCCTATATAGTGAATTTTTAAAAGAAAAAGAAACATAAAGGAGATTCATTGATTGATTACCTGAATTAACAAAAGAGGACAGCCAATGAGTCCATCTGAACCAGGAACATTGTGAATCAGTAAATCCAAGTGTGGACATGGTGGTTTAATTGAGTTTCCTAACTTCTCAAGCTCTATATTAGCATCAGCTTCAACAAACAAGATTCCTTCACCATTGCAATTCACCAAAAGCTTCTTATTTGGCCCTTCAAATATCCTACCAGCTAATGGATAGTAAAATACTAGGGTTTTTGACAGTCCATCTTTGATATATTTTGCAGGATCTTTCCCTTCCATTGAAGAATTATATTTGTAAAACATTATTGTGGGCATTTGGAAATGAGTACTCCCTTGATCATCTATATCAGAAATATGTTTTGTCTCAAAAGGTGTTGCTTTATCTGGAACTACTAATTTTTGCTTGTGATGAGTTACTGAAAAAGCCATAGAGTGTGTCAAATTGTGCTATTCAATAAAAGAAAGAGTATTTATAAGTATGGATTCTGAAATATAAATCGTAATTAATAGAAGTTTGTCTTTTTCATAAGCATTTGAATTAGATTTATAGTGCCATTTTACAAGAAGAAACGAGTATGTTGGATGATCCCACGTTGGTGGGACGAGGGTTTCGTGGTCTTTTTATATGGTTTTGGACAATCCTCACCTCAGCTAGCTTTAGGGATTGAGTTAGGGCCAAGATCCACTTATCATAGTATCATAGCTAGGTTCATCTCAGTTTATTATTACTGATGTTGGGCCCTCATTTGTGTTTTTCACGCTCCAGTTTGCAGGCCTGAACATGAGAGGGGGTGTTCAATTCCACATCGGTGGGACGAGGGTTTCGTGGTCTTTTTATATGGTCTTGGGCAATCCTTACTTCATGAGCTAGCTTTTGTGTTTAGTTAGGTCCGAGGTCCATTTTTATTATGGTATTAGAGGCAGGTTTATCCCAATTTATTGTTATCGATATTGTGTCCCCATTTATGTTGTCCATGCTCCAAAGCAGGCCTGAACGTGAGGGGGAATATTGAATCCCACATCGGTGGGATGAGGGTTTCGTGGTCTTTTTATATGATCTTGGGCAACCTCACCTCATGAGCTAGTTTTGAGATTGAGTTAGGGTCAATGTCCATTTTGTCGTCCTGCATGACGATTATTGGCAAGAAAAATATTGAATAATCTCATAAATGGTCATTCAACTCTTACTTTATTGCACTAAAATCACTAAAGTATTGTCTAAAGTCACTACACAACTTTTAGTAATCAAAAAGTCGCTCAACTTTGTATAAGTATTATAGAAAAATTAGATTAATTTGGGTTTTATTCAGCTTAGCTCGGCTCGACTCGATGCCAACACCTAAATTTTAAGTGGTCCAGGACCAGTATTACGTACATGCATGGCTTTAGAAACACATTATTAGTATAATTAACCTAATTTAATTTGCATTCAATGAACTTAGCCCCAGTCAAACGATAGTTACCTGCTTCCATTCAATTTGCATGTTATAATAAGTAAATTTTAGAAGATTGGACAATGATCCGTACACGAAATATATTTTCAATAATCTATTCCTCGCTTCAAGTTTTGAAAAACGTATAATTTATCTGTAACAAGTTTCTACAATACTACATTACTCATGTAAGTTTATCTATAACATTCAATTTGCATGTAATAATAACTAGGTTTTAAAAGATTGGACAATGATATTTGTTGCAAGAATCTATTGGTCATTTCAAGTTTTGCCAGAAGTACAATATATCTATAAACAAGTGTATGACTCTATAATACAATAATACTCCTGAGTTTATCTATAACATTCGATTTGCATGTAATTATAATGACTAGATTTTAAAAGATTGGATAATGATCCATGTTGAAAGAATCTATTGGTCATTTCAAGTTTTGTTAAATGTACAATTTATCTATAAACAAGTGTATGACTCTATAATACAACTAAGCTCCTGTGAGTTTATCTACTAAACATTCAACTTGCATGTTAAAATGACTAGATTTTAAGAGATTGGACAATGATATATCCTTGTTGCAAGAATGTACTCGTCACTTCTAGTTTTGCAAAATGTACAATTTACTTATATATAATACATGTGCGACATAATTAATAGTACTTTCTCTATCCCAATTTATATTGCACCGTTTGAATTTCGAGAGTCAAATAGGATTTTCTTTGACTAAAGTTTTTTTACATGTCTTTTAAATATTTTAAATTATTAATTATTATATGATTTATACTCCCTCCATCTCAATTTATGTAGCACTCTTTCTTTTTAGTCAATCCAAAAAAGAATGTCATCTTTACTTATTTAGAAACAATTTATCTTTAGGCACACAATTTTCAAAAATCTTCCTATCTTTCTTAAACTTTATGCCGATGGAGTCAAATACCGTCACATAAATTGAAAGGGAGGGAATAGTACTTTTTATATAATTTTCAAATATATAAATTTTATTACAAAAACTTAAAGATTCTATGTATCAATTTGTCTGGCAATTCCTCCAAGTAATAACTTAACTTTTCTACACGGCTCTCTTTGATATTTTAAAGCAGAAGATTCAATTAAATTATTACCGGAGTCTCCTTCTTTGAAAAACAACCTTATTTAAATAAGGTAAAACTGATTTTTTAGATTATATGCAAGATGTTGAATCTCCTTGACATAAAAAAAATCAGAATGTAATGATAAAGGGAGTTCAAAAGTTACTTTAGGCCATAGATTCAAATCCAGCTATAATATCCTAGCATTTTTTTGAATCACCTTATATACATTCTTGACTGATTACCAGATGCTCACACGAGGAGATCCGATTCAGGCATACACGGGCCAACCCCAACTATACACACAGAATATAGCCGAGTGTGCTGGTTCTTCGTGAGTTATAACACATCTAGCCCGTTGCTAGGAACTCCGCCAAACTTTCCAACTAAGGGGTTTAAGATTTTTAGAATTTAACTTATTATATATTTAAAGTTAAGGGTTTATTTTTATTATTTATAAAAATCTTAGTAGATTTTTGCACATAAACCTACGAACTACAGTAAAAATACTGAATAATCCCCTTATTGCCACGATACATGGGGTCATGAAGAGAACCATATTGCCATCATGCCAATGCAACTTCACCAACTTTACCAGCTTCACCAGCCACCTTCACCACCGCATAACTATCACCCTCGGCTACCACCATCGCCAGTTGTCACCGCCACTAGCTTTTAGTATATGTTTGATTGAACAAACAGTTCTGTAACACCATGTAAATTAAATTTTTCTATAGTATAATTCTTATTTATATTTATTACTCCTAGTTTTTAAATTAATAAAATTATACAAATTCAACAATATACCCAGTATTATCTCACATCGGGGGGTATGGGGAGGGTAGTGTGTATGGAGACTTTACCCCTACCTTGTGAAGGTAGAGAGGCTGTTGCCAATAGACCCTCGGCTCAGGAAAACATAAGCACCACCTTAATTAAAAGATAGACAAGGAGAGACAACACCAAAAAGCCATGTAAAAGCAACATAAAAACAACACTATAATAAGATGATCAAAATTGAAGAAAACGACGGGTAGTCATAGAAACCTACTACCAACAGAATGCGAGAGTGCATACTAATCCTACTGGTATGAACAATCTACCACCTACCCTAATCCTCGACCTCCACACCTTCCTATCAAGGGTCATGTCCTCGGTCAGCTGAAGCTGCATCATGTCTTGCCTAATCACCTCTCCCCACTTCTTCTTCAGCCTACCTTTACCTCTCTGTAGGCCCTCCAATGTCAACCTCTCACACCTCTTCATCGGGACATCTCTGATCTTCCTTCTCACATGTCCAAACCATCTAAGCCTCGCTTCCCGCATCTTGTCCTCAATAGGGGCCACACCCACCTTGTCGCGAATAACCTCATTCCTAATCCTATCTAACCTGGTGTGCCTGCACATCCATCTCAATATCCTCGATCTGCTACCTTCATCTTTTGGACATGGGCTATCTTGACAAGCCAACACTCATCCCCATACAACATAGTCGGTCTGACCACCACTCCGTAGAACTTGCCTTTAAGTTTTGGTGGCACCTTCTTATCACACAAAACACCAGAAGCGAGTCTCCATTTCATCCATCCAGCCCCAATACGATGTGTGACATCTTCATCAATCTCCCCATCCCCCTGAATAATAGACCTAAGGTACTTAAAACTTCCTCTCCTAGGGATGACTTGCGAGTCCAGCCTCACCTCCCCTTCCCCTCCCTGAGTCGAACTTACACTCCAAGTATTCTGTTTTGGTCTTACTCAGCTTGAAACCTTTAGGCTCCCGGGTCTGCCTCCACACCTCTAACCTCGCGTTCACACCGCCTCGCGTCTCGTCAATCAATACAATATCATCTGCAAATAACATGCACCACGACACCTCCCCTTGGATATGTCGCGTCAGAACGGGCTAGCTAGATCTTTGATTTTAGTTGGATGGTTTCTACACTTTCACTAGTCATATTTTGGATAACGTCGTGAAATTTTTCCATCTCTTGTGGAGGCGAGTTTATAGCTATTACAATACCCTTCTTGTTAGTATACTGTATTTGTAAAATAATTCCGGAGAAAATAAAATAACATATAAATAGAAATATAAACGAAACTGAAGTTAATCCGAGCCCACTGAATTCACAGTGTTTCCTTGAGGAATTTAACCTCTCCTAGTACCCAAGGTTGTGGATTATTTCCTCCCAGGATAGAACGAATTACACATTGGTATAGTGGTACTTCAAACCCCAGTGTTTCAGCGAACAAAAAGTTTGGCAGCAAATCACACTTACTGTTGCTTTCTTTGAAGTTAAAACAATGCAGAAGAAAGGAGGAGAACTCAGAAAATCGTATGGAAAATCTGAGAGAATGGACTGGTATTTATAGATAATGTTGAGCTCAAAACTGAAGAGGTGCAACTCTTCAAAATGGCTGTTTATGTAAAACGACCATAAAATAAATTCCATAACATGAATGGCTATTTACGCAACAATAAACCGGGAATTGAAGAGGGAGGCTAATTTTCCGTTACAAAATCGGAAAACTGAAAACGGATAACGGAAAAAAGTTTAATATTTCCGTTGGATTTAATATTAATATTCCACTGGATTTCTGTTAATATTTGCTATTAACAAATAAATTTGGTCCAAAAAATAAATCAATCAATCGATCATTTGACGAAATCCAAATCCGAATCCGAATCCGAAGCCGAAGCCGAAGTCGAGCCGAGCGAGCGACGACGACGATGGCGCGAGGCTTGCTTTCTTCTTAACTCTTTAAGAGCTACAAGAAGAGCAATTGTATATATACCCATCAAAACCTTTTCCTCTTCCAATAAGGGACAATATCCCATTGTCAGGGGGAAACTTAAAATTTTTGTTTTCCCTCCATTTTTCCTTCACCCTCTTTTAAGCCTATTTAGCTTAAAACCTCAACAATCCCCCACATGAATGGGGAATGGCTATATCACGGAAATATGCATGAAAAACTGTGTGATTCGCAAGCAAGGATTAATTGCATCTGGATAAGTAGGTTTCCCTTTGAACTTTCCGTAGTGAACTTATGTCAGATATACTCGGTCAATTGGTAGATTTGATATCTTTGAACCGTCGAACTTTGGTGTATATCTAGACAACCATAAGTCACAAAATCAACCCTTAACCGTCTTTGGTTCTCATTGTTGTGTTCGTTTCAGCCATGAACACCGCCTGGTTTCATAAGTGCGTAGAGAACTGGCCTTACAAAATTCTTCTTGAAGCGGCTAACACTTCACACTTACATAGGTGATTCCTAAACGTGTCATCCCGTAGATACATTATTTGATATACCCCGTATCAAATTTAGAAATCATTAAAAAGCCTTAATGTTTTATCATTGGTACTGAACATTGTCTCATCAAGAGAATGGACCAAAAGTTTAGTTGACAATATTGAACCGTCATAAATGACTTTGTTTGATCTCCTTGAACGTAGATCTTCGGATCTCCAGTCTTCTAGGTAGAGTTACCGCCACAATGACTTGTTCTCGGCCATATTTCCATTCCCCTCGATGATTTCTCAACTACCTCTCTAGTTAGGCCTTTTGTAAGTGTACCCGACACATTATCACTTGACTTTACATAGTCAATCGTGATAATTCCTCTAGAGAGTAATTGCCTAACGTTTT